CATAATCGCAAATTATAGGCTATATATGGCAGGGTACATAGGCTCCCTTGAAACTAGTTGGCCACACACACACACACACACGTAGGCAGAGTCTACAAACTGTGCAAATAAAAAGGTTGCGCACACATTCGCCGTATTTTTACATTTTTTTCCAGGTATTCTCACCCGCTCTCTCTCTCCCTCTTTCTATCCCTCTCCCTGTCCCTATCACTCAGCTGCTAGTGTTTTTTTTTGCATTTTTTCGGGTTATTATTTGGTCATAATTGTAATTTAGGTATTTGCTATGTGAGGCGTCGACGAGCCGCAAAATCATGCTACTTGTTAGGGCCATGTGATGTGATTTTTTACGGCTACCCATTTTTTTTTTTGTTCTTTTGGGGGCGTGATAGTTACCGTTATGGCCGGCAAGGCGACGCCACAGTTTTAAGGGTGTTCAAGCTGTCCCTTTGCAACGAGTTGAGCTCGTTACCGCGGGCTACCCTTAAATTATCAGTTAGCCTCAAACGCGACGCCAAAGTTGACGCTCTTAGCTTTACATTGATAAAACAAAATTGGTTTCCAAGAATCAAATGCATTCATTTATCTAGTTATTCAATCCAATTCAAAAGTATTAGCTTTCAATTAGCAAATTGGCAATTAGGCTTGCTTTTATTTGAATTTTTAAATGTTTAATTAAGATAAAAAAAGTTTTTTAAATGCATAAAATAAATTACAATATTACATTTTAGTTTTGAGGAAAAAAAAAAGCTGTTTGATAAAAAAAAGGTTATCTAAAATAATTGAAATAACAAAAAAACAAATCTTAAAGTTATAAAAAAGAAACACAATTATTTTTTAAGCTTATTTTTATTAAAATATTTAGTTAAAATGCATGATATATTGTTTCACAATTTTGTTCGACTGAACCAAAAAAAATTAAATTAAATTAGTGAATAAAATAACTTTACCACAAAACTTAACCAAATATAAAATTAAAATGCTTGCAAATGAACCCGATTAGCTCTAATAATTTTTAGCCAAGTCATGAGAAATTCAATAATCAGCTGTACAAACTAAATATAGTACAATTTTCAGCAATGATTCATAAATAAACGTAAGTTGAAGTTATGAGCAGCTTATCATCTTTTTCTCTCTTGGCTAGGCGGGTATTTTGGGTCACCCTAAAAGCTAATTTCACTAATTATTAGATTATTTGCCAGCCTCTTCACAACATCATCAAATTTATGAGCGTGACAGAAGGAAAAAAATGAAAACATTTGCCTTAACTCAGCGGGACATCTGGAAAAGTTTAAAGTATTTTCATTCCATTTGAATTTTTTGACATTTTGCAGACACTCGCAGAAATATAGAAGGAAATAATAATAATAATTATATGGCCTAATTGTGTGGATTAGAAATGACAAATGAAAAGTTGTGAAAATATTTGAGTCTCAGAATTAGAGAACAGGGCGTGAATTTCAGTTTGATTTAAATTTATAAATAGATAACTAATAATTGTATATAAACAAATTTTCTCAATAGAATTATAGTTGATATTATTAAATATTTATAATATTTACAATTATAATTTTATATTATAATTAATTATAATATTTATTAAAACATTAATTTTAATTATTTCAAATTTTTTACTTATTTATTGCATTAGTAAATTAAATTATTTATTTGATTAATTGATTTACAACCCTAATTTATTTACTTTGAATATTTAATTGTTTTTTTTTTTTATTTATTATTTATAATAGCAATTTTAATATATATATATATTTATTAATTAATAATATTTATTAATATTATTAAATTATATTCTTTATTAATATTCATAAGAATATATATATATATATTTATATGATATTATTATTTATTATTACATTATAGAATTAATAGTTATATATTTCCCTGCCCATCATTTATTAAATATCACATTTTGACATTTGCAAAAAAAAAATAAATAAAATAATAAAATGCGCACCGTTTACCTTTTGCTCAGCTCCTTTAATCGTGCGCCATTTAACACCCTAATGGGCGCAATATAAGCATCGCAAATGTCGCCCAATTGTTAGACTTCATATTCACGCCCCCTTTATTTCTATTTCGTTGCCAGCGGATCCAAAGTTCAGTGGTCCCATAAACAATGTAACGGTACCCGTGGGACGAGACGCGCTGCTCACGTGCATCGTCCACGATCTGGTTAGCTATAAGGTGGCCTGGCTGCGCGTCGATACCCAAACCATATTGAGCATACAGAATCATGTTATCACGAAAAATCATCGCATCGGCATCTCGCACACAGAACATCGCATCTGGCAGCTGCGAATACGCGATGTACACGAATCGGATCGTGGTTGGTAAGTGAATTTAAATATATATAAGTATA